CGCAGCGCACCCTCGCTGTGCCCCCTTTTCATGTGGAGGGACACGGCTCAGCGTCTGGGCGGTCTGCCCAACCGAAGTAGATGGGGCCGGAGGACCACGCCGCATCGCCGATGCATCGGCGATGCGGCGCGATTTAGTACGTAGTTCTTCCACTCCGACGTCGCCAATGCATCGGCGATGCGGTGCAATGGTCCTTTTGGATCACACTACCCTTGCTCGGTGTCGTCAGAAACTCCATGTGGCTTCGTCGGCACTCTTATGATATGGTGGAACAGAGGCACGGTTCGAGGACGTTTGTGGAACAGAGGCACGGTTCGAAAGCACAGGGTTGTGCCCACGGTTCTCCACGGTCGCGTCTCTTTGCTGGCGCCAGATATGCAATGCAGCGCGTAGTAGCAATGGCTGCATCGCAGGCGCGTCACATCCAATCTCGGCCAGCAGCGCAGGTCAGCAGGTCAGCGTCCATAGGGCGGAGCCGTGCCGCTCGCACGCCTCAGCAAAGCAATGGCGCCGATCGCTTGTCACACTGTCCACCCGCGAAGGCACTTGCACTAGATTGCGCCATGGTTCGGGCAAGGAAGGGCTATGTCAGACGCTGGTGCGCACATCTTATCAGCAACGATCGTGCAGGAAGGGGGTGCGAAGGATGAGGATGGATGGCGGGAGGAGGATGGGGAAAGATGAGGGGGAGGTGAAACAGGGCTACGCGCAAGAGGCAAAAGAGCACGCGGACGACATGGATGAGGAAACGGGTAAGGATTAAGGAGTTGAGTGGCATGCTTGTGAGGTTGCCAAGGCGTGGGAGGACGAGGAGGAGGAGGAGAACCAGTGCAAGCCCAAGCCGCATCAGCGCTGTTGCAATGAACCTTCTCTCCAAGAGCCCTCTTCACAGGTCCCTCCAGGAATGCATTCTCATGTTGGTAAGTGCCACCTGGGAAGACAACCGTTTGAGAACTCTCAGCCGTGGCAGGGCACCATTCCTGAGCCTTCAGCGCCGCTCAGCGTGGCTGTTGCGTCCTGACAGCCCTACACCGCTCCAGAAAACAATTTCTGGAAGTGGCGCGCCGCGAATCAACGTGACCGTCGCGTCCTGACAATCCTAGCTCGCGCCAGAACACCCTTCCTGGGACTTGAGCCTTTCGAACCCTTGCAACTTTTCAGAACGAAAGCGCTCGGCGCAAATGCGATAACGATATTTTGAAAATGGCCCGCCCTCCATCCATAAAGCTATTGCGAACGTTTAAGACGAGCGCGCGGGGTGCTAAGGCGAGGGCTACACGATGCAGGCCACTTGCCCTCAGTCAGTGAAGCGGTTGCAAACTTTGAGAACGAATGCGCGCGGCACTGGGGCGAGAACTACATTTTGAACACGACCCGCCCTTTTTGCAAACTTGCGGGGGATGTGCTACAGCGAAACTACATTGTGAAAACGGCCCGCCTTCCTCCATGACGTTGCTACGAATTTCAAAATCCAGTGTCATTAATGGTACAGAAGGCATGGCGAAACGTTGGGGGTGCAGTAGGAGAGCGACGAGAGCATTGAGACCGAAGTGGAGTAGGTCGATCGGATTCTTTAATACACTGTGTCACCATTGCTGCGACTGGTGGGGCTACAGACCTCATACCCTTCCCGTCGCCATGTCGGTTCAAAAGGAGTTGGTCATAGTAGCGGAGTTTGGTGCCCCATCCAGGCTCCCAACCGATCCATTGATTGACTTCGAGTTAGCCAACATCCATCGCAGCGACGGCGAGCCCACCGGGGCTGGCGGCTGTCGCGGGCGCGCTGCTGCTGGACATGTGGGGCGTTGGCGGCGGCTTGTGCGCAGCCTCTTCCGGATCCAGAGGCTGCAGCCCATCTGGGGTTACCTGGGCGGGTAACTTCATCGAGCTGGATTCTAGGATTTTAAGGACGAGATCTGGCGGCATCCGTGATGGCATCCGAGGAGCAGATGCGACAGCTGATCGCGCAGGTGCAGGAGCTCACGACGGAACTTACGAGGCAGAGGGACCTGATGGCGACCTTCAGATCCAAAGGACGAGGATCTGGAGGCGTCGACGAACCTCCAGGACACGGTCATCACGGATCGCGAGACGAAGAAGGAGAAGGTGCAGTTTGTGGACGCCAAGGGGCATAGGCAAGCGTACGGTCTTCAGCAGCGACATGAACTGGACGAGCTGGTCTTTCAAGTTGGGCAACTTCCTGGAGGGCATGGCGACCAGCACCAAGACGCTAGACTAGGCGCAGGACCAGGAGGAGGCGCTGACGGCCGAGGACCGCGAGGATATCGCGGGCAGACTCGGAGGACGACGTCGACCCGAAGGTCGTCTTCAATTAGCTGTACGCGGTGCTGGCTCAGCTGCGCGACGGGGAGGCGTTGGACTTGGCGCTGGCGACGCTGGAAAACGACGGCTTCGAGGCGCGGTGCATTATCGCGCCGTTTTGACCGCGGGGCGCGGGGCTCAATAGGGGCGTCTTGGGCGCGATGATTCAGCCGGGCTCGTTCGATGAAAAGAAGCTCAACAGCCAGATTGCCAAGTGGAAAGAGCGCCTGCGCGTCTAGGAACGCCGGGCGAATCGTTCAATACAGGAGGACGCGAAGGCTTCGGTGCTGATATGCATGACGAAGGGTGTGCTCATGCACCACCTGGTGTTGAATGCGATCAAGCTGAAGACGCACGTAAACGTGCACGAGGAGGTGCATAGCTCCCTCGAGGGCATGCTGCACGACAGAGAGGCGCCGACGCACGCGGGGGCGCTGGTCCCTGGCAGGGGGGGCGCGAACACCTTCTACCACAACTGCGGCCAGCAGGGCCACGCGAGGAAGGGTTGCTGACATCCAGGCGGAGGCGCCCGCCTGCCCAATCGCGGCGGCAAGCAAGCTCGGCTCGGGCAAGGGCCGCCCCCAGCGGCCCGCGCCATTCCAGGGCTACTGCTCGCCGTGGTGGGGCTGGGGCCACCGGCGCAATGATTGCGCTTCGGCGCGCGGGCAGGGGCAGGCCGCGAACCAGGGCCGCTTCGCCGACAACCTGGGGGAGCACGAGCACCCGGGGCCAGATGCCGAGCAGCCCGGGAACTTCGGCGGCCTGGACCTCTGCGCACTGGAGCACAACGCCGTGACGGTGGACGACCAGGAGTCCTTCCACGCGGCGGTGGGCTCTGGGGCAGATGCCTGCGCGGCGGCGAAAACTTTGTTCCAGGGCGCGCTGGCGAGGCCGACGGTGTCCAGCGAGAGCGGCGCCAGCTACCAGGCGGCCAGAGGGCAGTTGGCGCGCGACGATGGCGACAAGGTCATCGACGTGCCAGCGGGGGGCGGCAGCGCTAGGCGGCCGAGGTCGCATCGACCGGAGCGCGGCGCATGCTGCTGGCGGCGCCGAAGCCGGCCGAGAAGGGGCACGAGGTGTACTTCGGGCCGCGGGGCAGCTGCGTCAAGCCTCGCCAGCGGCAGGCAGCTCCCGGCGCGCCAGAGGCGCGGCGCGCGCGCCATCAAGCTCAAGAAGGCGAGCTGGCGCACGGGGCAGCCTGCCCCAGACCTGAGCGCGACGTCGGGAAAGACGCGGCATGTGCGGCAGTAAGACCTTCGAGTGAAATTGCGGAGTGCAGCCCGGCACCGGCGCGGCAGCGCGCGTCGAGGCGGTTCTTGTGGAGGCCGAAGACGACGAGCCCATGTGGGCGGACCCGCCAGTCGCGGCGGCGCCGCGGCCGGTCGAGCTCACCCAGGCCGAGCGCGAGGCGGCCGGCCACGCGCAGCAAAAAGCACGGCGCGGCCGCGGCGCCGACGCGATTTCCATGGACTGCGCGTTCTTCGGAGGTGACGCGGAGCGGGCAGCTCCCACCTCGGCGCCGCGCGAACACGAGGGTCGGCGGGCGGTGCCCGCCACAGCCGGGAGCAGGGATTCGCGCGAGACGTGGGTCTTCGATTCGGGGGCGGACGCCATCAGGCACGCGGACGCGATGCGTTCCGTGTATTGGAGCGTCCAGGGGCCGGCGATCGTTGACGCGGGAATGCGGCCATCGAGAAGCTAGGCGAGTCCATCGCGATTTAAGGAGGAGAGCCCGGTGGACGCGCACCAGAACAATGGCGCGATCGAGCGGGCCGCGCAGTCCGCGGGCGGCATCGTGAGGGCGCTGAAGCCGGCAGCGGAGCGCCAGTGCAAGATTGATCTCGAGCAAGACCATATGATCGCGCCGCTTCTCATCATTTACGCCAGCGCGGTGTTCGGCCCGCCTGAGGCGGGGGCGGACGGGCGCGCGACGCGCGGGCGGCGTCGGGGCAAGAAGTGCCGCTGCGATCTCCCGCCGCGCGCCGAGTTGGCGCTCTGCTGGCCAGCGGGCCGGGGCAGGTGGCCGAAGAACAAGCCGGGCGCCAAGTGGCTCGCGGCCGTCTGCCTGGGCGTGAAGCTGACGACTCAAGAGCTGCGCGTCGGCTCCGAGGCGGGCGCGGCGCGTGCTCGGACCATCGCGAGGAGGGCAGGTGACGCGCGCTACGACGCCGAGCAGCTGAAGAAGCTGCAGGGCTCACCGTGGAGACAGGTGCAGGGTGCAGCCCGAGACGGGAGCAACGCGCCGG